AAAAAAGAAGTTGGTTGTTTGTTCTGAAAAACTTAATGAAAATAAAAACCTGTTTTAGAAAGAAACCATCAATGTTTGGACAAGATTCCAAGGCAATAATTTGATTGGCTAAGATTTTAAGAAAAAATTTTTAAAAATCAACATAATCCTCAAAAATCACACAAAATGAGATACTCTGTAACTGTAATTAAGTGAAAGAAAAGCTAAATTAAAAATTACTCTTGTCTAATAACCACTCTCATGCTGCTTCTTAACATTTGAGATTGCTGGTCTAAGTTTTCAAAAGCAGTGTTACTCAACAATCAATGAACGGCAAAGTTAGTGTGCTTTCTTTCTTGAATGTTGCTGAATGGACACTGAACAAGACAGGAAGAATTTAAAAAGGTCATAAATGTACATCACAAGTTATCAAAACATGGTAAATAATTTGGGGACTTCTTTTCTTTCAGCAACTGGGAAAACATCAGTTAACTATTCAACTCTTATCACAAGGCTGGGCAGTAGTGGGGGGCCAGCCAAAACAAGAAAAACAGAACAACTGAGTGAGGGAAGAAAACTCTGTGCTGGCTGGTTCAGCTCACGGCAGTGGGGTCTTTTTAACCCCTGACCTTGCATGGAAAGACTGTTCATCTTAGAATACCTCCTGCAGTACTAGCAATTTATAAAAAAAGAATAATTATGAGAAAGAAGCACATCTCTTTACAAGTGAGGACATTTAGAAAGTCAATGATGACTCATCTTTTTTTTTTAGACTGGATGCTACGTATTCATAAAGATGCCTTAACTTTTCTTATAACTCCTGCTGTTTCAGAAACTATTTAGGGTTGCCCTTCAAGATTAGGAGTTACCAAAAATAATTAAATAAGCTGAGGAATGTAAAAATTAAAAAGTTCAATCATTTCCTATTAAGCTTTAACCTATAATTCTTTGAAACACTATACACTAAATTCAGCCTCCAAACCAAAATGCTGAAATTCTAAAAACTCAGGAACTTTAATTTTAGAAAATTTTTTCAATAATAGTTTAATCTTGTGAAGCTAAAGAAGAAATTTATCAAATGGAAATTTTCAAGTTGCCAAATCTAAAACAAACCAAATAAGGAAGCAACATGTAAGATGGCTGAACCTGAAATACATGCTTTACATCGAAAATATGTATTTATATAATAAATTTGGATAGCATTTTAGTTATTCAGGGTGTACCTGGCTATCAAATTTTATTAAAACCTCATCAAGAAGGAAATATCAAATCACTCATTATGCTCTGTGATTACTGTAAATTGAACAATTTAAAGGAGGGGAGGACACAATGATATTAACTTCCTAACTTACAGCAATCCTTTGTGGCGAGATTTTAAAATATTCTCCTGGTCTGAAATTCATGTAAATTGAATTCATCTATCATTAGTTATTACTGTAGTCTAGCTACATTTAAAGAACAAAACAGTTTTCTGTAACAATTAGTTCTTAGAAACACTATTTTAATTAGACTTGTGACATCACTAAACTAGCTATAAATATGTAACGGTGTTGTACTTGGTATACCCAGGTCCCTGAAAATCAACACAAATACCCTCAGAGTTCTTTCTCTAAAATTTCTTCTAACAAAAGCCCTTTGCTCAAAATTTAAGGTAATCTAAAATAAATATCCCTTTCATATTCTATTATGTATATAAAAAAGGAATGGTCACAGGTCATCACAGAATAATCATTGGAACAGTATATTTTCCACATGTAAAGCTTAGTCAGAAGTAACCAATTCTTAATTTTATGAGTGTCCATCGTTATATACATCACAAACTCTTGCCAGATCTTGGGCCAATCCCAATTTAAATTTTAGCCAAAAGCTGTTTCTATCATATCATCCACGTATTTTATACAGATTATTAGAGTCAATCCTCACCACATCACAATAGGTTATATATTATCACTGCTTTGTTTTTACTTATTTTGCGGGGAGGTACTAGAAATTGAACCTAGGACCTTCACACTGAGTTACATCCTTCGCCCTTTTTGATTCTTTATTTTGAGACAGTCTTGTTAAATCACTAAATTGCCCAGGCTGAGCTCAAACTTGCAATCCTTCTACCTCAGCCATTCAGAGTGCTGGAATTGTAGGCAGGCATGGGCCATCACACTCAGCTATTCTATTTTATATTCAGGGAAGTTGATCTGGTTAAGGTACCATTCAGTTAAGCTAGGATTCACACAGCCTGATTTGAGAAACCACAGTAGTGCTCATAATGGTAAACCTCAGGGACAGGTGATTAATTTCTGTTTATAAGGAAATCTCCCAAATAACTATAACACTGCCCTGTAAGGATAATAACATTAAACTTACAGGTTTGTAATGCAGAATAACCCTTCTGTAAAAATCAGTCCTTTTCTTAATCCTACCTCAAGCATCAGATTAAAGCTTTCTACTATCACTTGACTGAGACTAATATTTCTTCAAATCCTTGAAGATTGCTGTAAATTCATTCTTTATATGCGAAATGCTACCTGCCTCTTCCCCTTTTCCTTAGTAACAGAAATTTAATGTTCAGCTCTTGACAATTTCCTAACATTTTCAGTGGCTAAGTGTGATCACATGACTAAGTTCTGCATTAACAGATGATTAGTACAAGTATGGTGTTGGAAGTCTAGGAATGTTATTTAAAGAAAGCAGAATTAGTTCTTAGGAAGCATTTCTGCTCTTTCCCACCACTTTGCTATTCAGATGTTTTGGCTGGAGCTCCAGTAACTACTTTGGACCATAAGGCAACCTGGAGGAAGGAAGCTGCCAGTTGTGGGTGAAAGGTGACAAAGATGGGAGACTCCACTTACGAGAGATCAGGAAGTCACTATAACATCTTAGATGGCCTCCTGTCAGATTTTATGTAATAAACAGCCTTTATTGTGTGTAAGACACCATTATTTGCAGATTTTTATTTTTTCTATGAAAAAAACTGAACCAAATTTTGATAGAATTGAAACCCATACATATTTCATACTCAAGGTTTGTTTTAACTGTGTCGAAAGGTGGGAAAAATGAAACAGAATCATTTCTGCTATGAGACCGGAGCAAACCCTCTCTGGTAATTTTCAGCTTTGGGAAAGAAAAAGAAATGGAGGGGTGATGGAAAAAAGATACTTCTGCCTCCCTACCATTGCTAATCCATCTCTTTTCTTCTGGTACTAAGTTCTTCCCATACCTATTTCAAAGCACAGCTCAAAAATATCTCTTCTGCTAGGCGATTGAATTCAGAGTGCATTCTGCTCCTGCCATTTATTTGACAATCATATATCTCTAGTCAATAACTTCTGTTCGACTTAACTTTTACACTGTATTTCTTTTGCTATGCGTCACCTTCACAACCTAGTGAGAACTACCTCATATATCTTTGCACCCTCCAAAGGTACAAGAAAACTACCTCAGGGTGGCAGGAGATCAACAAATACTTTTGATTGATTAACTGAATTAAAGTAAGAAAAACGGTAAGGAAAGGAAAGAGAACAGAAGACTAAGGAGTAAAAATGCACAACTTAGTAGTGTAGAGGCCGACTAGAGTCCTAAAGAATCTCTACACCAACGTTTTCTTCACTGGGCCTGGCGGAGAAACATCACAATAGCTTCAGTCTGTACTACTTGATAAGTTTGTTCTCCTACGGGAGTACAGTACCTTCTGCTTCAATCCAACTTCCTCAATTAGCAATAACATTTTAGGAGTGAGAGACCCAATTCTAGAAGGCTTATTTGTAGTAGATGTATATGATTTCAAACCATATAACACAATTGGCTTCCAGCAAGGTGATATTTTACAGAGAGTACTCTGCTAAACAATTGTAACAGCACAGAACATAATGCTTGAAAACACGAGATACTGACTTCACAAAATAGTGGTCCAAAAGATCATTTTGGTTAAATAAACTTCATTATTTCTCTTCTAAAATCCAGTAATAACACAGTATCACATAAAAAAAACACAATCTCTTTAACAATAGATGTACTTCAAGCATATATTTTGTGGAAGCTACGTCATTAAAAGTGTGACAAGGCTATAGATATTAAAAGCTCTGTAATACTATTTGAAATTAATGTCATATAACAACGAGCTTAAAAGCTTTAACTAATTAAACTACATACAATACAGTAACAAGTGACACAAAGAACATTTTAAACATGTGCAACTGATATTTTATCTAGACTCATGAACTAGTTCACACTCCAATGATTTTATTCTCAATAATTTGTTAATCATTATACTATATATTTGTTAATGTGCTATGCACCTAAAAATATATTCTAAACTATTTTCAAAAACTTAGCCAACTTTGGGAATGATATTAAATTAATAGAAATTTTCGTTTATCATTTTTAACATCCTTTAATTATATTGGTTCTACTTATGAGTTAAACTACTTTTGAATTTTTCATATAATTCATAGCTCTAAAACTCTAAGAATACATTTCTTGCGAATTATTCAATTGTACCCTCATTTCAAAATGTTTTGCACAAAGATTTCTCAGAAGTCTCTAAGATAGTAGCTTCTTTGACAGTGAAATGTACAAAATAAATGACATGTCAACAAGTAAATTAGCATTCCCTTTCTGACCAGCTGGGTCATGTTTCCTTTACAACATCTCCAGTCCCATGATACAAAATAATAATAATCTAAAAGACCTCATTAAATGATCAATATATTGACATAACCTCTATAAGGAGACATGTTTTAATTGATCCCTGCATCCATTAAATAGAATATTAATCTCAAACCTCCATAATACAGTCTAAGAAAACATTTCCTTTATTCATAAACTAATTTTCTTTAGGGTGTTGATAATAGCACGTGAAGAGATTTGAAAATTTTTTATATTTAACCAAAGAGTAAAAGAAATCCAGCTTTTAAAAAGTGCCAATAAACTCCATGAAAAAAGAAATCCAGCTTTCACTAAATATTCCATACAAACAAAAATACAGCAAAATTTATAATAGATAAAGATAAACCATGTTTACTTACCAAAAAACTTCCAAAGGCTGAATTAAATATCGCAGCTGCCTACAGAGAAAATAAATGGGGGGAAAACTCACTGAAAGTAAATAGGAATAAGAAAAGCAAAGATTATCATTCTCCCTTCCCCCACTACGGAAACCTTGAAACACTGACCCTGTAAAGCTATGTTACTCATTGCTTACAAAAATTGCCAGTGGCCTGTACTTTACTAAGACAGATGAGCTGCAGCTTAGGAATTCATAAATAAAAGGTCTCAAAAGCAGGTGAAAAAGGTTTGCCATGAGATGCTTTGAACCTGTATGACAGTACCAAAAGAATCATCACCAATAGTAAATCAAAACCTTGTTGTTATTGGTTTTGCTGTTAGGTTTATAACAATCAGAGATTGATTTATTCATCAAAAAAATCATATTACTGCGAAAAGGAATGAGAATTTTAAAGGGAACATTAATCGGTCCCTGTCAGGGAGCACGTCCTGTACACTACAGCCACAAGGTGAGATATGTTGCTCCCTTACAACACACTTTAGAAATCTGAACAATGGAGTTAAGACCAAGAGAGCCATTGCCAATGTCATAGCCTCTAAGGTAGTAACAAGCCAGTGCTCAAAATTCAAAGAAGAAATACTTGACTGTGTGCTTACCTAAACATCCACGAAAAGCACAGTAGGTGTAAGATAGCTCTTAACTTTAAGTCAAGCACTATATTCCATGAAGCTACACCACAGTCCTGAAAGCTTCCCACATTACCCAAAAAGGAGAAAAACGTGCATAACATCCAATTTGATGAAAAAAAATGAGAGAGAGGGAAAGCTAGGAAAAGGCAAAAGGAGCGGGTAGAGAAATCCCATTTACATCTCCACCAGATCCAGAGCAGGATTAAATTAAGCATCACGGACATTAGCAACCACAGTATAGTAAAATGAGGATGTCAGTTAGTAAGTTTGAATAAAGTCCAAAGCCAAACTAAGAGCTCTAGACGAAAATGCCTTCTGCTCCAGAAGAGGATGCAATAAGAGTGAATGGGTAATGAGAGCTGTGGCTCCAGAGAGCTTAGCTCTCCTATTCCAGTTCATAATTAATTCAAAGCTTTGATAATTTCATTAGATTTCTCCTTTGCTGGCCCTATCAATAAAAGATGGCACTGGACCACAGCTCCTCTGTGGCACAAACAGAGGCACAGGCACAGACCAGGGAAACCTTTGCTTCCTGCTGGGGACAATGGCATATGGTGTTCTGTGTTATACTGGGAGCAGTAGAAAATTAAAAAAAAAAAAAAGATTCAGCTAAATAAAACATTACAGATGACAATTGCAAACTACAGCAACATAACTAACACATCTTCCTGGAATCCCATTACAGATGATTCTGGGAAAGTTTGATGTATAGTGAAAAATAAAAGGATATAAATGAGAGAGTTGTGGGGAGACCAACAGAGAACACTGCATTCCTACAAAATACACTCCCCCACCAAACAACCTTCCTATCTTGACCCTATATTGTGCTTAAAAATGGATTTTTCTCTCTTTTTTAATAAAGGAATAAGGTGTCCTCTTTTGAGCTCCTTTCTTCCAAATTCATTTCCTTCCAGTCCTTTTCATTATTCATTTATCAGATAACTAATAGGTTTGTGTAGCATTAAAAGAAATGTGGAGGGTCGCTGTGAGTTCGAGACCGGCCTGGGCTACATAGTGAGTTCCATGTCAGTCTCAACTGCATAGTGAGACCCTGTCCAAAAACCAA